AGACAGTTCCGTCTTAGTCGGAAAGCACGGGAGATCACTTCGCCCACTGCCTCATCGCCTTTGATAATGTCCAGCGCAGTTGTGGACGAAACGTCAGGAAGAAATTCCCATGGAAGGATTATCAAAACATGGAAAACACTCCTAAATGTAAGACTTTAAACAGTTGAAAATAGCTGACCAGACCCAAGAATCGTTTCGAGTTTTTCGTCGTTTTATGCCGCAAAATCCGTCTGAACCCATTAAGCTTCTCCAATGTCCAACAGAGCCTTGTTTTCAACGGCGCGTTCTTGTGCGATTATTTCTGTTATTGTTCACGGTTGCTCTGTTTGTTCTTGTATCGGTGCGCGGCAATAACCGCTAAACGATTGCATAAACGTGTTATAATTATCGATTTTAATTTCGCCATTACATTCGGTCGATTGGTCAATGCCTGGCTGTTGAAATTGGAAATTCCGCAAAAAAAAGCGTCGATTTGCTGGTAATTCGGCCACATTGGCGTGAATTCACCCTGTATGCGTCACCGGCCGTCTAGACTGCGAGCTTATACCATGAAAAGACCCATCATGGTGTGACCTAAGCGAACCTTGAACCCGCCTGCACCACTGGCTTTTCGCTTTTTGCCAGTTTTACTTTATGTCTTCAGCTCGACCACTACCAAATCGCTCAATGATGGAAATTTCGCAAAAAACGGCGAATTAGCCGTGGATGGTTCCGGTTTCGCAAGCTCAAACAAAACACTGCGATTTCTCACATGCTTAGCACATCTAGGTATGCACAGTTTATGTGCCTGCTATCGTGATTTCGAGTGTTTCCGCAGAAGTGCCCGTAAGATTGCAAATTGCCCGGTGTTTGGCGCTTTGTTGCAAATATCTCGTCAATTTTGATCGATGCCAACAGAAGAACTTTGTCCTTTGCCCGATAAAGTATTCCGATCAAATCCGATTACGCGATTGTACAGGATGTTGTAAGTAAAGAGGACGGCTTTTTTCCGACTTGCGACTCGAGAAAGCAATTGAGTTTGCGGTTAAGGCGCTCGTTTTTCGGACTGGTTTTATTCTGTAATAATTCAATTAATTTATCGTGGAAACATGTTTCATTAGATGAGATGGAAATCCAGTTGCATTTTTTGGTGTTGAGCAGCGTCCAGTGGGGGCGCTGGTGCCAAAATCCCGTCAATTTAACCCAGTTTCGCTCACTGACTACTTAACTATTATATGCATTATTTCCAATAACCTTTTAGCAACCGCCGTTGGTGTCGAAACCGTTCTTTAGCTCGCATGACTCCCTCGCGGGTTATTAGGAAATCTGGCCTGCCGTATTATTTATTTTGTCTAGAAATTCGAGCCGTGTTTGCTGTTTGTTTACAATGGCCGACTGCCGTGCACATATTTCATTGCGAAACCAAGGCGCTGCTTCGGTCTGTCCTTACAAACAGGGTGGTGCGAGCAAAAAACATCAAAACCTTCTAAATCAATTTGTTGAGTCGCGTTTGTTTACGGTTCTCCCTGGTAAATCGGGCTTGCCAGACAAAGACCCACTGGTTGCCATGGCAATCGCTTTGTTGCTCTCCCTCATACGCACAGTTGCAAAGGATGGCTTTGTTACAGGGTGCAATCGTTGCGTTTTAAGCAAGCGATTCCTTCAAGAAAAAAAAGAGTTTCTTAACCTGGCCGGACAACACCGGCCAGTTTCTATCATGTTAGCGTCGAACTTTGTCTTCCTAACTTCCTAATGGGACTTTGTTTTTGACCAAATGAGTAATGGAGGGTTGTTTGGCTGGCTGTGGAAGCGCACCGACTGAATCAATTAGCTTGATTAAGAAGCATGTTGTTCCTAGTTAAACATCTCCAAACATTGTACGGTTAACTAAATTGCTTTCACAATCTGCGAACCAAAACGCGTGCTCGTCGGCCGTAGGCCCCTGATGGGTCATTTGGCTGTTAAAATCGCCCATTAGCGCTACTTTTCCCCGTAGTTAAAAAGAAATCTGACGTAATATATGGACTGGTTAAGGAGCTCCAATCTCGTGCCACTAAACACATAAACAGAACTACTTAAAAACCAATTTAAACTTCTCCAGAACGTTGCATGTTCATCTGTTCCGCGAACAAATAAACAAACAATACAGAAACAGCGTTCATAGCCTGCTGAGGCAAATGAGATTTATTGCTACCGAACGAATTAAAACAATTGAATTTTGCCCATTTGTTTAAACCAATCGTTTATTTCAAATGGGCGACCACTTTATCCGGAGCGTGATTGTCTTTGCTGGTTTTGCGGAGGCGCATTTTCCACATTCAATGCTTTTAATCTGTTATGGCTTCAGTACCGACCAGAACAGTGTTTACTCTATTTTTAAAAACACCGACGAGGAACTGGATTCTCGGTCGTTCGTTGCGCCACATTAATTATACACGAATTTTGAAAGCAATTAAACTTGGAATTTCTATATTTGTCGCATACTGCGTGTGGCGCGCCAACAATCGGCTCTTCGTCGCCTCTCGATTAGCATCCGTTCAGGCTTGATGGGAATCATGCCATTGTCTATTCTTTTACCATTTTTTCAAATTGTATTTTGTCTTCTTGGTACCGCCTTGGCTTCGATCGCTTTCACCCACTCGCTTCAGGATCTTTCACTACTGGGTAATTGTAACACTTGCGCCGTCTATTTTTAGCCGAAACGGACGTTTATTTTTACATATGGTTGGCATTTTGCTCCCGAGAGTCGGATGCAACTATAGCCGTAGAAATTGTGTTTCTTTTCGCTTGTCAACAATACGAATATTGAATGTCGAAGTGGCAAACTATGGCCGCCCCCTCGTAGCAAAACCGGCCCATTCCGAGCGAGGTCAAGTGGCAGGGTGAGCGTTGTCGCCGTGGAACGAAGCGAGAGGGCGGTACCAAACTAGCTCTGTCCTTTTCCCGCCTGCCCTTTATACGGGTGCTGATGCAAAAGTTTACCAACAAACTGTCCCTGTGTTTTTGCACTTTGTACGGCGACAATGGCCGTTCTGCAAAAATTGTCTTACGTGCACGCAACTTTGGGGTTGGGTGGCTGCATAAAACCCAATTACTGCAGTTAAGGGCCAAATTGAAGCCGTTTGCACGTCCGCTTTTTTCCCAGTTCTGCTTAGTATGCAAAACGGAAAGCGGCCGTTAGTAGTTAATGAGGCTCACGTACGGAAAAGTGAAAGATATATCATGGAGAGTAAGAAACGGTGTCTGCGTTGGGTGTAGAACGACCTCGTATTTTCCTTATTACGGATAATGATAACCACCAGCAGCAATTAATGATAATTTATTGTTGGGCGCTCAAAGCGGAGATTATTTATCCGGTTTTCCGAGGCTGGAGCATCGTAAACATCGTTTTCCAGTTACAAAGACCAGTTGCAAACAGGCAGTTTTCCGCTGCTAATTTACTAAAAAAAAATTTTGTTTCAGGTAATTTCACGTGTTGGGTAAGTCCCGAGAGATTCAATCCGGAACAGGCCCAAGAGCGTTTCAAGTAAGTTAATTTTTGCATTCTTTTAATTCTTCTGCTGGAATGTTCATTTGCCAGCATACCGAGGGCGATTTAGTTGTAAAAATATCATCTAATGCGGGTAGACGGTAGTTTTTGAAGACATAGCTCGAATATTTCCGTATTAAATCGTCTATTATTAACCCGGCCTAGTAACAAGAGCCGAGTCTATTTTCCTCGGTTAAACAGAAACAGGGGAATTGACTCGTAAAAGCCGAGGAAATATAAACCGAACACTAATTTTACCTACTTACTTACCTAGTATGTATCGTCCAAAGACCGTAAATGTTCCCTCAAGGAACGCAGTTTTTGCAAACACTTTCAATTAATGTGCAGATAAATCACCATACACTTAAATTGGTGTTGACGCCGTTTTATTGATGCTTGTTCCACCAATTGAATGGGCAGAAGACAAAATTTTGTTTCTTTGCCTTTGCACCATCTTGCGGTATGCGGCTTTACCAAGTATGGTCGAGAGTCGAGATAACGGAAATCGCATTAAACATTTTTCTCGCATTGTTTCTAAATAAACGCCACCGTGCGCTAATGAATTATTTAAACATAGCGGCACGTCAGAATGCATTCTTACGCTAAAAGCCGTGCTTTTGTGCTGTTTTCTTTGTTGCCAATCGGATTGAAATGAGAAAATTCTGGTGCAAATCACGTTTCGATGGTTTGTAGTTTGTTTTTATCGAACACTTCAGGAATCCGATCGGGGTCAGGCTGAAAAAACTGATGATTTTATCAACGATTTGCCCTAAATAACTTCGACGGTTAAAACTAATCCGGAATCTGTCAATGTCAACAATGCGGACCGTCCGTTGGGTTGATTTTTTACGTTTGTTTACGCCAGTCCCTCGTAAGGCGCGCTGGAGCGACAAAGACAGACGGGTTTCCATGGTTATCGCATTGCGGCTCTCACTCGTACCCGCAGTTGCAAGGCCAAAGCAACAGTATTTACTGGAAGGGTTTGTTACGGGGGGTAGTCGTTGTGTGCTTAATTCCGCCAGTGATGCTTTTATATAGTTGTTGGTGACTCAGCCCGATTTGGCCAGTGCCAAATTTACCAAAAATGAGTAACACGAATGGTGATCTCAATTAAATGGACTATTTTTAGCAATGCAATGACTAATCGCCGAATTGAGACTAGTCGTGCACTTTCTAAGAAAAGCTTGCATCAACCGGATAAACTTTACATAAAACGTTATTTAGAAATGGATTTTCTAATTTAGAGACATGAAAATTCCGCATATTATGCCGTTTATGAGCAATTATTGCGGGTTTCACGAGGAGAAAAACAGCGCTCGACACAGCAAACAATGGCGCGCATTGTTCAGGTCTTTAACTGGCCCCCCCCGAATATCTGTTTCACAGAGTAAAAAGCCTTAATTATGATAAGTTAATGGATTGGAATTTCAATTTGTGGTCGCGTTCTTGGTTGGGACTTGGGCGAACGTTCAGATTTTTATCGGACATCCGCTCTAAAACGATTTTGGCCGGTTAACTTGACGGAAATCGGACTGCACGTCCATTAATTGATAGAAGCGTTTCATTGTTTTGCTCAAATTGGTAAAAAAAGCGCATTTTCCGCGATTTTCCCGCTGCTCGTTCAGGGCTTTGACCTAGGCAAACGTTAATGAGGAAGCACTTTGCCGATGAGAACTGGGCTAATTTCTCTATTGCGCTTTCAAACGAACTGCCGCTTAACTACATGGTGTCCTGGAAAAGGCCGCGCAAGTGCGGCAACGTCGGGCCTTTCAGTCGCATCTTTTACGCTAAAGGCGATTTTACAGAAAAGCACCAAACAGGTTCCTGCTGCCCTTTCCCCAGGTTGGTGCCTCTTTATTTTCCGCATCCACTCTTTATGCACGTTTTCTCTCGGTTGACTTGGGTTTACATCAAGGGCAGGGTTGTCGCTTTGTCGCAATTGTTTGAGACGTCCGCCGGTCCTTTGCTGTACGGGTTTTTCGGGAAATTGTTTTGAATTTTTCAACCTACTAGTCCCCGTCTCATTTGATATGAAGTCAATGCAAAAAATAAATTGGGTGTGGAAAAATGTTCCAGTCGGGAACGTATGTTGGATCGGAAGTCTCACTCGCACTCACAGGGGCCTATGGGATTAGGGCATTGCTACGTTCCAAATTGGCACCTTGACGGCTTAAAATGTTGTGAGTTTGAGCACGTTTTTTCTTTACAACAAAAAGTTTTGCGACTTTTAAATGCTATTTTATGACTATCGACTGGTAATTGTTGGTCGATTCTTGGAATTTCATGCGGCGATAAGTAATGATGCCAGTCAACCATTCACTGGTTATCAGAGTAGTGGCAATTGACTCATCCACGCGGCCTTGTTTTTCTTCGATTGTCCGTCCTATCAACTCTATTTTAAGAAAGCATTTGTCTTTATCTGCAGAAGGACAGCGCCGTCGTCCAGTGTTGGACGCTGGCATTAATCTAATGACAATAGTGTCCAATTTGACTGTCATCACCAGTAATGATGGTCGCTTATTGGTCAATATTCTGGTTCTAATCGCAATGATGATCGGTTTTGGTCAAATGAGCGCGATGGCCGCAAGACGGAACAATGGTGGGCTGATTTAAGCCGATCTTTATCGCCCAATCACGCCTCCATAGTGAAAGTAGTGCAAAGGGCAGACAGGTGGCGATTCTGCTTAAGTCCTGTCAATTTCCAGCCATTCTCTTCGTGCAAGAGACGTAAATCGCGTCGAGTGGCCCTCAGGTGCGCTGAACTTTCGAAACACCTTATTCTAAATCGGATTCTGCATTATAAATAGGCCGTCTGGAATGCGGGCGGCTCGGGCCTGATTCGCGCTGCTTTTGATTATGAAACAATGTTTCATCTTTCGAGAAGGAAATTGGTGTTTATTTGGGCAAGTCTGGGCAAATGG